CATCCAGATCGGTCAGCGGTTTGTCCCTTTGGTCGCCGCCGTTAGGTTCTATTACCAAGCCATTTGGATGTGTGTGACAGCCTCAGAACGGTGTTTCAGACATTTGAAAGTAAGAATCTGGTCATCCTGTCCCGCTGGATTGGTGTGGGCTATGGGAACAACAGCCCAGGACTGAAAGAGATTTGTAGCTGTGGGCTGTGGCGTGGGAACTCTGACCAGGGTACATAGGGCACTGCAACAACAAGCTCATTTGGGGCCTCACGAGAGGGGTCTATGCATTGTCGTGCTTGATTAGAGTCCTTTGGAGCGTTGCATTTGATATAGGGGCAGAGGCTAGGAGTTGCTCATGGATTGTGAGGCGAGGTTGTGCTGATGTAGTTTTTATCTTACTATAGAATTAACATCATGAACCCAGGCTGTTCTTAAAAAAGAAAAAGAAAAAAAAAACATCATCATCAGCTAATTATCATCAGTATCAGTAGTATGATCTTCAGAAGTATCACCAGCAATGTTCACGAGGGAAGCTGGGCCCGGTTCCCAGCATGTGCTGTCTTACCAATTCAATGATGTATCTCAGGGGACGCTGGGCCCGCCGCTTTCCAGCAGGTGTAGCTCCCCACCAACAGACTGGAGCCCCCTGCGAGACAGGTAGGAGTGCATTCTCTTACCATCACTCCTGTCTGTTGACATGCGCTTACCATCACTCCTATCTGTTGGAGCGGCCGGAGAACTTGAAAAAAACAAAAAAAAAAAACTCGAAGTGAAATCCGCACAAAGCCGGACTACTTTCTGACAAAAGGGGATTATTGGTGAGGCAGTGCGGCAACACAGACCTTACCAGAAACTGTGCTTGACGAGTAGTGTGCAGAGCCGCATACTCACACTACGACTTTTTCTAATTTCTCTGTGGAAGTAGTTGGAGTCAGGTGCATCCAGCCGCGGTTGGAAAAGAGGAGTGTGAGTAATATGCCCTTAAAATATCAGATTCAGAATCTCAGATCCCGGCTGTTTCAACAAATGGCATGCAATGTATCCTCTGGCAAAGTTTTACCAGAGCAATCAATACTACCTTGTCCTTGTTATCATAATATCTTCTGACATGGGACGCTGGGCCCACTTCCCAGCATGTGAAGCTCTCCACATATAGGGTCTCACTCCACTACACTAGACTCACGAAAAAAAGGGCCTCACTGCACTACTCTAGACTCTCAAAATATTTCGAGAGTTCGGTTTTATTGTCAGAGAGGAGAAACTCTCGAAATACACGCCTTCGCTGCACTTACTCTCGAACCTGTGACACTAGATGAACTCTCGAAACCCTGGGCGTCGTCCTACTTGACTGAAGAGCTGCACCACTGCGCTACGGGACAAAGTCTGGCCGCCGGGACAGGAGGTCCACTCTCGAAAAACGAGCCTGTCGGTGGGCAACTCCCGAGGACACTTGCAAATCCGGTTTTTGCAGGCGGGAGACTCTCGACATTTCGAGAGTGGCGTTGTAGCGTGGCTTCTGACAGCTCTCGATCGGGTTTCGAGAGTTTCCCGATCAAGAGTAAGTGCAGCGGAGACCCACTCTCAAAACTTTGAGAGTCCAGAGTAGTTGTTGCATACTGTAACGTACAGACCAGAACAAGAACCGACCTCTCAATACAAAGTACAAGATAACACAGCGGAAGACTTAGATACTAATGATCCGAACAATCAATATTGCAATGCAGCCCTGAACACACATCATCATCATCGTTATCTGGTGTGAAGGGGGTCTGGTGCTTCACACAGGAAGACTGCGCCAGCCCCAACCATACACAGACGAAGAAGGAGGGGTTAGACGAAGAGGAGGGGAAGATGGGAATGTCGTCAACACCAAGTCTCGGCACAGGCCAAAATAGTCCCTCGTCGAAATGTCTGAATCCCAAATGTCCAGTCTGGATCCAATGTCGTCAAGTCTCAAGTCACAACTCTTTCTCTCACTGTCGTAGTCTGAGAAGTCAGGTGGCGAGAGGGTGAGAAGAGATGGTGGACTTAGAAGAGGAAGAAGAAGAACTCTCTCTCTCTCTCTCTCTCTGTGTCCAGTACTAACCTGTGAAGTTGGCGCCTTGATGCAGGTACCTTGAAGATGGAGCTGGAGCTATGGCGCCACAGGTGCGTACCGCTGGCCTCCGCCAGCCATCTCTCCCAACTCTACGATCTACCACCTAATAGCGCCCAGCGCTGAAGACTACAGCTATGGCTATGGGCGTCCAGCGCCGAAGACTACTACTAGCGCTAATACTACTGCCTAGCGCTGAAGACTACTGCAGCGCTCCTCCTGAGTGCTGCGGCCGAATCTTGAAGACTACCCATGCCTACTGACAACTGCCTACCCGTGAAGTGCATGGGAACCTCCTATGTACTACCGGGTGTGCCTCCTGACTCGTGCGAGCAGTCCAGGAGGCTGCTCTTGCCAATGCCGAAGGAAGGCAGGGGCTGCAGCTGCAGCTCCTGCTCGAGCTGGCGTGGGGAACAGGCCAGAAATAGCCTGTTCCGAAACCCAGTTTTCGTGCCTGAGTCTTTGAGCAGGTCGAAACAAATGAGGGCCTGAAAATGACCCTCCGTTTCAGGCCGAAAAACCTTAGAGTCTGGGCCTGAAGGGCCTAGAAATAGGCTGAAAACGGAGTAGGGCCTGCAGGCCCTCGTTTCTCAACTTTCAAGCTGAAACGACCAGGGCCTGTAAGCCCTAAGTTTTAGGCTTTTAGGCTGAAAGTGCGGGACGGGCCCTGCAGGGCCCGTATGGCTACGCAGTATGCCACCCCCCCCCCTCCTTGAAAGACCGAGCTTACCTGCGAGGGCAAAGCTGTCTGTCTTAGGGAGGGACCAAAGTCCGGGTGGGAGGGGCAGGTCGTGGAGGTCCCTTAGCTAACCTTTGTCGCTCGTACTGAGCGTAGATCAGCGGTGCGGATGCTTTCAAATCTGCTCCTGAAATCCACCGAGTGTCGTCGGGATCACATGCTCTAAATGTAACTTTGTACTGGCGCGGCTTGCTGCCGTACTTGCGATCCGTGATGACACGGTCAACTTCCTGATGACCATCCATAAAGGGGGGTCCTACGATCGTCGGCCCGGGAAGTCGTCGCTCTTAGCTGGTGTATATGTTGCCAGCTTCGAGGCGTGAAAGACTGGATGGACCATCAGATGCTCGGAAATGTTGATCACAAATGAAGGGCCATCGGGCTCATCGCCCGCGGCTGTTGTCACAGACCAAGGTCCAAACCACTTGGGAAGCAGTTTGCGTGAAACATCCTGTTCCAGTGCAAACTCTTCCGCGGAGACCCAAACCAGATCACCGGCGCGGATGGGACATGGTACGTGACGCCTGTTGGCTTGCTGCTGCATGCGGACTTGAGCCTTTTGCATGTTCGAACGGGCTTGAGTGAGCAATTCCCTGTACTTCCGGACGGAAGCGGGAGAGCAAGCAGCATCAATGTCGGCTGGTCGAGGGAGGAGAAGGTCGGCGAAGATCCGACCTTTCCGTCCACCGTGGTGCAACTCGAATGGAGTAACGCCGATCGCCAGATGCACCGAAGCGTTGTAGGCGAACTCGATGTCCGGGAGGCGGTCAACCCAATCTTTCTGGCCCGGACGGATGAGCGTACGAAGCATCATTTGAGCGGTTTGATGTGCCCGCTCCGTTTGCCCGTCCGTCTGTGGATGCCGAGCCGAACTTGGTTTCATCTTCGTGCCGGACTTCTGCATGAGAGCAGTCCAAAATGCCGACATGAAGCGAGTGTCGCGGTCGCTAACTATGTCTTCTGGTACACCGTGGCCACAAATCCAACCAGTGTGCAGGAGGCGTGCCAGCTCGGGAGCCGTAGAGTAGTACTTGCAAGGAAGAAAACGCGCATACTTACTCAATCGGTCCACCACCGTGAGGATGCCGTCGTGCCCGAGCCGGCCGGGGGGAAACGGACCGGTGACGTCCATGGCAATGGAGAGACCAGGTTCCCGTGGGATAGGCATCGGGCGTAACTCGCCGTAGGGATTGCGGTTGCGGGGCTTGCTGCGTCGACAAACTTCGCAAGAGTCACAATACCGAGTGACATCGGTAATGAGATCAGGCCATCGGAATCGCTGTCGAAGCCGTGCAATAGTGCGGTTGACTCTGAAATGGCCGGCGAGTCGTGAATCATGATACTCGCCGAGGAGGCGAGTCTGAAGACGGCGGTCGCGTGGGACACATAGTAAGTCCTTGCCTCTCGAGTGGAGGAGCAAGTATCCGTCGACAATGCGATAGTGGCTGGCCGGCGAATGATCCGAAGATAGTTGTGCATACAGCGTGGCGAAGTCCGGATCAGACTCATATGCCCGGATGAAGTGTCGCTGAAGCTCCTCGTCGAATGCGAAGACATGATGTGTCATAGCACAAAGATCAGGTTTTCGTGAGAGTGCATCTGCTGCGCGATTTGAGAGGTCGGGAAGATGTTTCGGTGTGAAGTCAAACTGGTCGATTAAGTACATCCATCGTCCGATCATGCTGCTCACCGTATCCTGTGTCTTGTAGTAGTAGGTCAATGGATTGTTGTCCGTAACCCATGTGAACCTACGACGCCCAAGGAGGAAGTGCCGTCATCGCTTGAGAGTCATGATGAATGCGGGCAGCTCCTTCTTCCTTGCATCATCAAGCGAGTTGATGGGAGGCACTTTGTGGCCGAAATACTCCACAGGGTGCCAGTCGTCACCATCGTGTTGTTCCAAGACTGCCCTAATGCCATAGTCGGAAGCGTCCGTAGTCACTCTCGTCGGCAGTGTGGGGTCATAGATGCTAAGGACGGGTGCCATAAGCATAACCGCCTTAAGTGCTTGGAATAAACGGCGTGCGTCGTCATCGAATACGAATGGCACCTTTGGCGACTGTAACCTCGTCATAGGTGCAGCAATCCTGGAATATTTGGTGATGAATCGCTGATAGTAGCCCGCCAATCCCATGAATGGACGAACGTCCGTGGTGTTGGTGGGCTCGGGCCATACTCGTAGGGCCTCAATCTTGTCCGCAAGCGGACGGATGCCTTGCAGCGTCACATAGTGTCCCAATTACTCCAGCTCCTGCCGCACAAATTCGCACTTGTCGCGGTTGGCTTTGTACTTGGCTTGTCGTAGTCGCTCCAAAACGGTGCGCAGATGTTCCACATGCTCCTCCAAACTCCGGCTGTACACCAGGATGTCGTCGAGGTAGATAAGTATGTAACGATCCAGCATGTATCGGAACTCCGTTGTCATAGCCGCTTGGAAAGTGGTTGGGGCATTCGTAAGGCCAAATGGCATGACCAGCCATTCGAAATGCCCATATCGCGTCTTAAATGCGGTCTTGTAGCGATCCTCCTTGCGAATTTCGAGTTGGTGATATCCCGACTTGAGATCGAGCTTGGAGAAGAACTTGGCGCCGCCCAGTCGCTCGAGAAGATCATCGATGCGTGGGAGAGGGCCGGCGTTTTTGATCGTTTGTGCGTTGAGCTTGCGATAATTGATGCACAACCGCAAATCCTTGTTCTTCTTCCGAACGAAGAGAACAGGAGCACCGTATGGCGATGAGCTAGGCCGAATCCAGCCTTTCTCCAAAAGGTCGTCGAGTTGTGCCCGAAGCACACTTAACTCTTCCTCGCTCATTCGGTAGATGCAACCGCGTGGAGGTACGGCCCCGTCCTCGAGGATGATCTCATGGCGGATGGGTCGATCCGGTACTACTCTGTGCGGGCCTTCGAACACGTTGCTGTAGGCGTCGAGAAGTTCGGTGATGCGGGGATCCGAAGATGATTCCGTCGATGACGCGTCTTGGGGTGGGAGGGCGTGGAGAAAACACACCCCCATCTCCTCGATGTCGTCTCTGATGATGGAAGCTCGCATGCTTGCGGCGGATACCACGTGACAGCTGACTGAAGGGTGAGGAGGAGCTACCGTGCATGAGACTAGTACTCCGTTCCGATCACGAATGTGAACGGTGCGGCGGTAGAAGTTCACCGGGTGGTCCTCGCTTCGCAGCCATGACATGCCCAAGATCATGTCAAATTTGGTGTCCAGAATGTTAAAGCACACCGCCTCACTTGCGTGAGGGGCAAAGTACATTGGGACGTCGTCAATGCATTGGTCGATTGACTTGTGCGTGTGACCGTCCACCAATGTGACTTGCATGGGCTGGGACTTCCTTCGGACTCGTGGGCCAAGGCCGGCGCGTACCATGAAGTCCTTTTTTTTTTTTTTTTTTTTTTTTTTAACAAAAACGGCCCCGACGGTGTTAGTGCTGTTGATAGGAGCAAACACCACTAACACCTAGGGGGAGGCTCAGTCTATTGGTGGGGAGCATCCCCTGCTGGAAAACGGGTCCAGCGTCCCTTAAACAGAAGCTGAGAATGTTTGAGAATAGTGATTGTGAGGCCTGCCAGCATTGATTGCCCTGTCTTCAGGGGATTTACTGAGCAGGTGTGTGTATATCATAGTGGTGTAGCCATTGTTTCCCGTATCTCTTCACCCCCGGGGGGGTGCCAGATGTCCCATTAAGCTCTGATACTACTTCAGGAAGGCATAACAAGCGGCTACCCTGTCTGTGTAGTCTAGGTAATAAAGCAAGGGGATGAAAGGGGAGGAAGGGAGGGATCTCTTCACCGGGAACTCGGGGCCAGATATTGCTATTATTCGTTAATTCCTCCCTCCTCCAACTAGCCCCTGTGGGTGCCAACCCCCTTCTTCTCATCGCGATGTCCTTCATCCCAGACCACACCTAGCTCCCGACTAAGTCCAAACCATACCATGTGTTGTCCACTAAGCAGTTGGACAGGGGGGGGAAGAAATAAGGGAAATGTCCAGGGATTTGAGAGGAATTGTCGGGTCCACTTTGGTCCAGTCGTTGAAGCGTAGATGATAGTCTCTTGTGACGCCCGCCTCTGGTTGGACCCCTCTTGGTGTTATGGTTTCTGAGGGATCTCCCGTCCATTCCACCTTCCCTATCCTCCCTCCATGGACACCCCCAAGCCAGTTTGAGTTGAAGTTCTGGATTTTCTTTTTAATGTCATTTGGTTTTGTGAGAGGTTGGATTCGTGCCTTGAGCGCATTCCATTTAGCGGTTATTTCCGTCTATATCTGTTGCTGAATGCTCTCAGTGAACTTTGGACCTTCCAGCCACACCCCCTCCATTTCGAAGGTACAGCGCCGGCGCCAGAGCGCCCAGAGAATCGCCCGCCATCCCAGCCTGAGCATGTTATCGGTGAAGTCGTCTGTTTGCTCAGTCAGACTCTTGGGTCAGGTTTCGCATAGTAAGGCCCTCCAATCCCACGACCATTCGACGTTTGTCTCGAGTTGATCCCACACTCTGTCCCACCATCTCCATAGCCAGAGCACTCCGGGGCATTGGAGAAAAATATGCTCGATTGTTTCTGGCTTTTTCCGAGGCGGGAAGGCGTTTGTGCAGAGTTTGCACCATGGGAGGGCCCGCCCTTGTTTTTCTAGGGTCGTTCTATCTATGAGCCAGTTATTTGTTGGAAGACAACGGTGCTCGATCTGCCATTGGAGCGAGGACCATTTTGTTGGCCTTTCCTTAACTGTTCGGAACCATCGGATGGGCCTAAGCTCCTGGCTGCTGATATTGAGATGGTTTCCCCAGCGCTCTTTCACCTGATCGCGCAGAGCGGCCTTTGGTCTTAAGAGCCTGTAGGTGGATTTGACGGATAGAGCATATAAGGACTTTGTGAACTTCATACCTTGACTACCTTGGGTTGACCACGTCCATTTACCGGGGTCTAGGGCCAAGCGGTATAGGGGGGTATCGGGGTCGTAGGCTATCCATTGGCCATCCTCCCGGAGTACACGGATTCTAGAAAGTTCCTCCGTTTGGCATGTCAGGCTGCGATGGTGGGCTCATTTTGGATGGCGTTACCCTGTCCTACCCTGAAGAGCTGCAGCTCCACGTTTCCATTCTCGGGGCACGTGACCACCCTACCTACGTGGCCTTGCCGGTCTCTAATCGCAACCCAGTCCAGTTCCTGCAGGGAGGGCCTTTTGCGAAGGATGTTCCACCAGGCCAAGGGGATCAGTTCGATCAGTTTCTCCAAGGCATCATCCGGCCGGTGGCAGTAGCGCAGTCTCCGTCGGAGCTGGTCGGGTTGAATCCAATCTTTCCTATCCATGTCCCAAATGTCCTTCACCCTGATGATCCCATTCTTGAGCTAGCTTTGCCACGGTGTGTCAGTGCTCAAGAGCATACGGCCAGACGGGTCCACCACCCGCCGGTTCCCGAATAAGGGTTGGCGCGCCACCTCCTCCCACCTTTCTGGGTCGATTTTGTCCGGGGGGGGTAAACTCCTCCATATCCTAAGGGGTCACGCCGTAGGTCTGCTCTGGCTGCTTGTCTAGGGCAGTCCGGGGAGGGGACCCTATGTTGCACCCGAGTTCGAGGGATGGGCCATTCTCGGTTTTCCAGCCACATCAGCGGGTTGGTCCCCTCAGGTACGTGCGGTGCTAAACGTGAGATCTGTTCTAGCGCAAGCCCTCTCCAAGGGACCACTGGATCAAAAAGGAGGCGTTTGAGCCATTGCAGAGTGAGAGCTTTGGTTTGCAACGGGGGGTCGATAATCCCCAATCCTCCCTGAGCTTTGGGTTGTGTAATAGAGTGCCATGCGACCCGATTTAAGACGTTTGGTCATTCGTGGTCTCCACGCCACAGGAATGCCGTTAGCTGGCGCCGCAGCAGGTGCAGGGCGTTCTTGTCCAAGGCCCAGATGGCGGATTTGTACCACATGGAGGCCAGGACGATATTGTTGATGATGAGGGCTTGGTCGAACAATGAGGTGTGTTTGTCCCTCCAGCGGGCCAGTTTGGCCAAGGGGGGTGAGGAGATCCACTCGTTATTGGTTGGTGGTCTGCCTTCTGCTGTCATGGAGACGCCCAGGACCCTGATGGGAGCTTCCTTGGGGAGCCAGTTAATTCTAGGGTGTTCTGGGGGTCTTACGCCTTGGTGGTGTATCCACCACCCCAGGGTTTTATTTCCCCAGTTCACTTTCATGTCCGACAAAGCGTAGAAGCGGTCCATCATGTGTTGCACCTCCTTCATTGATTCGGTAGAGACATCTACCATGAGTGTCAGGTCATCAGCGAATAGGGAGCACACAGGGATGGCTTCTTTTAGTAATGCCGTTACGTGGATCCTTTTGAGGTCTTTGTGGGACCTCAGGTTGGGGGCCAGCGCTTCCATGACGATAACGAACAGGTAGGGTGCTATAGGGCCGCCTTGTCGCACTGACCTTTGGAGATGGATAGGGGGTGTCAGATTACCATTTATCATCACCCTGGTAGTCGCGCTCCTGTGGAGAATCCGGATCCAACGTCGGAAGTTTTCCTCGAAATTAAGTTTATGCAGGCATTTATCCAAGAAGAACCAGTCCACGTGGTCATATGCCTTCTCAAAGTCAATAAAGATGATCGCTGCGTTATTTTTAGATTGCCTTGCAAGTTTAATCACCTCATTGACCAGGAGGATGTTGTCCTGGATGTTTCTGCCTTGGATAAAGCCAGGTTGTCTGGGTGGATGATGTCCCTCATTGCTGGTGTCATGCGGTTGGTGAGTGCCTTGGCCAGTAACTTGTAGACCACGGTGAGGAGGGTGATAGGCCTATAGTTCCTAATATTAGTCTTTGCCCCTTTTTTGTAGAGGAGCGTCAGCACTCCTTGCCCCACGATTTCGCCTATCTGGCCGGTATCCCACACCGTGTGATAGTAGTCCATGAGGTCCTGAGAGAGGGCGGTCCACATGGCATCCCAGAACTCTTTTGGCAGGCCATCGAGGACCGGGGTCTTTTCCTCATCCATTTGATGAAGTGCCTCCCATATCTCCTCCTTCGACAAGGGGGCGTCAAGGGCCTCCTTTTGCCTGTCTGTAAGGGTCTTTGTTAGAGGGTGCAAAAACGCATCGATTTCTGTCGCGCGTTTCTCTCTGCCTTGGTTCTGACATCTGAGGTGAACAGTTCTTGTTATAAATCTCTCGCTATTTTTGTACATGCGGCGGTGGAGGTGTGGAGGGGTCCCAAGTGAACTTTCGGGTCCTCGAGGGCTTCGATGATCGATCGCCCTGTTCTGGCCTTGGCCATCGCGAAGAACCTTGCGTCCATCGCGCCCTCCGTATTGAACTTGAAGAGTTTGCCCCGTATTCTGGCGGCCTGCCACCTATGTTCCATACAGCCCATGAGTTGACCTTCTAAGGTAAGGATCGCTTCAGCTAGCTCGTGTTACTGTTCCGGATTTTGGAGATCGTTTTCTTGATTTTGCAGTTGTCATAGTTGATGCTGAAGTTGAAGTTCCTCCGCGTGGCGGCGTTGCGCTAGCAATTTCGAGTATTCATTGCACTTGCGGCCTAGGAAATCCAGACCGTTGTTGAACCACAGGATATCGTCGCTAATCCGGTCCCTTTGTGTTTTCCAGAAGGACCAGACGTCCTTGAGGTAGCCGAGAAATCGGTCGTGTGATAGGAGCGATGTATTGAGTTTGTAGAAGCCTCTACCTTGGTCGGGCTTTTTTCTGAAGGAGAAGACGGTCAGGCACGTGGCATGGTCTGAGCCCGGGTGGGGGCTTCTGGGGAAGATCTCTGCTGCGTGCAAACCCCCGTGCAGGTCCTCGGATGCCAGAATCAGATCAATGCGCGATTTTGATGCCCTCTCTGTCGCGCACTTCCTGTAGCATGTGAAACGGCGTGTGGGCGGATGACTTCGTCGGAAGGTGTCGAAAAGGTTGAGAGATTGCGAGAGATCAGAGAGCATACTCTCGTCTTGATCTGTATAGACAGGACAGCAGGGCGGAACTTTCCATCTATCTAGCCACCTGTATGGGGCCGCATTGAAATCACTTGCCACTATCACGGGGATTCCTACTGGCAGCGTGTCTTTCAGGGACTCCAAGAACGTCCGCCTTTCCGCGGGATCGTTTGGCGCGTATACGTTCAAGATGCAGGCTACTTCCAACTCCAGCATGGCTAGGAGGAAGACCCATCTGCCTTCGTTTTGGTCTGCCGCCCAGTTAAGCATCTCAACCTTAGAGTCAAGGGGAATCCAAATGGCGACCCCGCAGCTGCCTGGGCGCGGTGCGTGGGCACGGAAGGCTTGGTGGGGCCAGATCTCCTTATGTGTGTGATTGTGCTCAGGAGTATCCATCAGGTGGGTTTCTTGTAAACATACAACGTCTGGCCACATTTTGCCTTCCACTCCTCTCAACTGTTCCACTATGGCCTGCCTTTTGGGGATCCTTGCTGAGGCAAGGCCGTTGACGTTGAGTGAACGCAGGTCGAGGTCCGCTTGCCGTTTGCAGAGGTTCCAAGCCTTGTCCCTGCCGTAAAGCGTGTCCACCACGTTCATCCCATTATCCATCTGGAAACCTCAGAGGGATACCGGCTGTGAGAGTGTGTGTGTAGCAGCCTTTTATTTATTGCAAGGCCACCCATTTCTCCGTGTCGAGGAAGCTGTCCCTATGCAGCACTTGCCGCCTGAGCAGACCCACAAGAAAAGATTCAATGTCTGCCGCGGACCAAAGGGCTCCGGCTTTGATTCTTAGGATTTGGAGTTCCAGCAGGGCGTCCCTGTCAAACCAGCGCAGTTCGTCGGTGCCAGGGTTGTCATACTGGAGGTAGATGTCCCTGATCCCGAGTCGGTCCTGTCCGTGTGAGACTATTAGGGCCCTGAAGGCACTTGCCGGTAGCAAGCCTTGAGAAAGACGGGAGATGTCCTGCGTTCGGAACAACAGGCTGTCGACCCACGAGGTCAGTGAAAGGAAAAGGGTCGACTGTCCCTGGAGGGACACCTCGCCGTATGCTGCGTTGGGGGGTACGGACAGTCCCACCTCCCAACCCCCGCCGGTTTGTCTGACCGGGAGGAGTACAATACCTTTATCGGAGGCCCGGTCGGGAGGGGCATTATCAAGCAGG